TTCCACATATAAGTAATGCCATGCAATAGTTGTCTTTCTCTGTCTGGTTTTTTATAACTTAGCATAATGCCTTCCAGGTTCATCCATGTTGTTGGACATGGCAGGGTTACCTTCTTTTTACGGCTGAATAATATTCCATTATATATCTGTATCTATGTAGATATAGGTCACATTCATCCATCAACAGACGCTTAGGTTGTTTCCATATCTTGGCTATTGTGAATAACCCTGCAATGAACTTGGGGGTACAAATCTCTTTGAGATAATGATTTCATTTACTTTAGATACATACCCAGAAGTAGGATTGCCGAGTCATATGGTAGGTCTATTTTAAATTTCTTGAGGAACCTCCATACCATTTTCCAAAGTGGCTGTACCAGTTTACATTCCCACCAAGTGTACCAGGGTTCCTCTTTGTCCACACCCTCACTAGCATTTGATATCTCTTGTTTTTTTCATAATAGCCACTCTAACATGCGTGCGACAATACCTCATTGTCTTGATTTGCACTTCCCCAATAATTAGTGAGCACTTTTTCATGTACCTGTTGACCATTTGTATGTCTTCTTTGGAAAAACGTCTATTCAGGTCTCTTCCCCATTTTTTAATGTTTTCTTTGGGGTGGGCTATTGAGCTGCATGAGTTTCTCGTATTTTTTGGATATCAACCCCTTATTGGATATGTGGTTTGCAAATATTTTCTCCCATTCTATAGGTGCCTTTTCATTTTGTTGATGGTTATCTGTGTTGAAGCTTTTTAGTTTGATGTAGTACTTGTTTATTTTTGCCTTTGTTGTCAATTTAATACCACTTGAATGCTTGGGTATAAACACCCCCCAACCCCTACCCCCCATCAGTGGATTATTGATCAATTTTCCTCATAGCATCAATAAATGACTCCAACCCTCAGATATGCAAGCCAGGACACTGGAAGCCATCCTTAATAGCACTCTTTTCTTCACTTTCCTGTCCTGTTTATCCATAAGTTGTTCAATGTTTAACTAAAAAATATATCAACCTGGCTCACTCCTGCTAATGTTAGCTCTCATGATCTCCTGCCTGGATTTCTGAAAAGGTCTCATGATCTGCCTCCCAGCTTCCATCTTGCCTTCCTCTTAATGCATTTGCTACGCATTAGCTATTTTACTTATATTTAACCTAGACTATTTTAATTAAAATAAATTTTAAAAAATTGTGGTAAGATAAACTTTTATAACAAAAGTAGAATGTATGCTATAAAAGTTACAGAGGCAAAAATAAAGAAAATAAAAATATATATTTCCACTTCTAAAGATTACAACTGCTAATACCTTAGGGTACAATGCTACATCTTTTTTATAGTACCTAAAAGCACTGCCTTTTGTAACCAAAATGAGATATTGTAACATACACATGGTTCTGTAGCTTGCTCATTTCAGTTAACGATCCCCACCTTCCATGGCAATATATTTTCATCTTATATTCAGTCCATTTATATTCAAATTTCCTCAACTGTCCTGCAAATGCATTTTATAGGTGGTCTTTTCAAACTGTAATTTAATCCAGGCTCTTATGTCCCTTAAAATTCTTTTCATAGAGTAGTGGCCTGATTCATAACAAATTGTTGAAGAGATGGGGCCAGTTATCCCGCTGAATGTTTCACCTTCTGGATTTGTTTGATCACTTCCTATGGTGTTATTTAGTTTGCTCTCCTATCCCCTGCATTTCTTATAAGTTGTGTTAGATGCAGAAGTTGGATAGATTCAAGTTAAACATTTTTGCCTGGAATGCGTCAGAGATGATACTGTATACTTCATACTGCATCTCATCAAGAGATACCCTATCAGATAGATGCACAGGTTGGCCACTTAAAATTGTGAATTGTATAATGTTACTATTGCTTAAGTGTCATTTACAGCTTCCTTTGCTTTATACTACAACACAAACTCTTTAACTTGGTACACAAGGTTCTGAAGGCTTTGACGCTCGCTTACTTTTCCAGCTTTATTCCATTCCATTCTTCACCTGCTTTTTAAAGTTTTTTTTTTGCAGCAGCGTTGGTTTCACCTCCCTGAACCTGCAAAGCGCTCCCTCCTCGGGCCTTTGCACGTGCTGCCCCCGTTCCCTGGGGGCCTCTCCCTCGCCACTTTCCCCTCCTTGTAATGCCAGGCATCTTTTCAAGCTGGTCGTTTTAAGTTTACCTTCTCAGGAAAGCCTTCCCTAATGACCTGGTTTAAATCAGGTTTTTCCGAGGGACCCTAATATCCCACATCCCAAGGACCCTGTTTTTTGTACCATGAACCTTTTTTTTGGTCAGTTGAGTATCTGAGTCCTTACCTGAAGCGTGCACGGCAGGGGCCTTGCCTTTTGGGCTCACTGTGCGCTCAGCGCTCGTGCACAGCAGCCCGGAATGAACCCCCACGGGTCACAATGCCCCGAGGCCGTAAGCCTGGCACGGGGTCGCCGCAGGCTGTCGCGGGGGCAGTGGCGGGCCTCGCCGAGCGGCCTGCGTGAAGGAATGCCTGGTTACTTTTACACGAGCGCGTCCGTCCACAGGTGGCGGCGGTGAGGAAGCGGAGACCGCCACGCGAGCCGGAGCCCGGACCTCCCGGCGCGGCGCAGACCCACCCGGGCCCAGGTGCGCGGGGCCACCGCCCAGCCTCCCT